GACACCAGCCTGGTTGTGGGTGGGGAGGGGTCCGCAGGCCAGATGCGGGAGGGTGGGATCAATGCCCCCAAATCTCTCTCCCCACCCCCTGTCTTTCCTACTGTTTCTCTATCTCTTCTTCTCTGTGTCTGTTTTTTTTCCTGTCTCTCCACCATCTTTTTCTCTCACTCTCTCTGTTTCTCTATTTCCATTTCTCTGTCTCTCCTTATCTCTGTCTCCCATTTCTCTTTTTCCCTGTGTCTCATCCATATCTCTCTTCCTGTGTCTCTCATCTTACCTCTGTGTGTGTCTCTGTCTCTCACTATCTTTGTCTCACTCTTTCTGTGTCTCTCTCTCCCTATCTCTCTTTCTTTTTAAAAATTTTTTATTGGCATAGAGTTGATTTTAAATGTTAGTGAATCAGCTATTATTATTGTTGTTCAGTCACCAAGTTGTGTCTGACTTTGCAACCCCATGGGCTGCAACACACCAGGCCTCCCTGTCCCTCATCATCTCCTGGAGTTTGTCCAAATTCATGTCCATTGAATCAGTGAGGCCATCCAACTATCTCATCCTCTGTCGCCCTCTTTTCCTTCTGTCTTCAATCCCTCCCAGCATCAGGGTCTTTTCCGATGAGTCAGCTGTTTGCATCAGGTGGCCAAAGTATTGGAGCTTCAGCTTCAGCATCAGTCCTTTCAATACGTATACATATATCCACTCTTTTTCTAGATTCTTTTCCCACATAGGTCATTACAGAGTTTTTTTAATTTAATATTAATTTATTTGACTGCACTGGGCCTTAGTTGAGGCAGGCAGGCTCTTCACTGTGGTGCGAGGGTTTCTCTCTAGCTGTGGTAAGCACCATGGCATTTGGGAATCTTGATTTCCCCACCAGGGATCGAACCCGTGACCCCTGTGTTGATTGGAAGGCGCTCCCTCTTTTTCTGTATCCCTGTCTCTCTCTTGTCTCTATGTCTCCCTCTGTCTTTCACTCTCTGTCCTGCAGGTTTATTGAGTCCGCTGTCTGATCTCCCTGCAACCCTTGCCTCTCCCCTGGGACCTCCAGTCTGAGCTGGAGAGACGGGTGAGCTCTTGTTGAACCTCCAGAGAATGGTTGATAGGCTGGACTTTCTGATGAGGTCAGAATTACACATACTGGGCCTGACCTGGGCCTGGCCACCTTGCCCTGACCTGTGAAACCCCTCCCCCACCCTGCTGGCCACACTGCTGAGTCCCCAGAGCCGCCTCCCCAGGTCCCCTTGCCAGGCCAGGAACTCCCCCTCTGGTCACCCTGAGTCCAGCTCCTGGTGATCCAGAGACTCCAGGATCCCAGGACACCAGCCTGGGGCTCCTCACCACCCCCAGGATTCTTCTAGAATAGCAGCAGCCCCAGGACTGGACCTTGGTCAAGGGGCAGCTGTGCGCTGGGGTGAGGCTGGGACAGTGCTGCTGCCTCATCAGGGTGGCCCTGACCTCACAGGGCCTGTAGATTAACAGTCTGAGCAGTTGAGCAATGGTGAGATATGTGAGCTAGACTTTAAGTTGACTTTCATTAGTATAAAATAAATAAATGCATCAGAAAGATACTCAATCCAACCCAGGCTTTATTTACCCTATCCTGACGGCACCTACTGCATCACCCCCAACCCACCTGATCCCCACAACGGCCCCACACAGCAGATGGGGGTCATTACCCCCATAGTACAGATGAGAAAACTGATGCAGCATCTCAGGGCAGCCGTGACAGTTATAACGTCTCTATTTCCAAATGGATTGCTTTTTAACCTTTTTTCTGTCTTTATATTAGGGTGTGCTCACTTGTCTTTCACAAATGCTTCATATATAGCACGTTTTTATTGACATAGCTTAAAATACAGATTTTTAAAAACTATTTATTTATTTGGCTACACTAGGTCTTAGTTGTGGCCTGTGGGATCTTTAGTTGTGGCATGTGGGATCTAGTTCCCTGGTCAGGAATCAAACTCAGACCCTTTGTATTGGGAACGTGTAGCCACTGGACCACCAGGGAAGTCCCATATGTCTTTTATTTTGAAGGGAGAAAGAGAATATTTGCTTGCTTGTGATTCTTACTATAGTAAGAAATGGAGTACAAATGCAGGATACTGGAAACGCATTTGAAATAAAGAGACCCGAAGTTTAAAACAATCATGGAAACATAGAGGCTGCTGTATCAAAACCTCATGGTAACCACAAATGAAAAAAATCTAGAATAGATATACACACAGAAAAGAAAAAGGAATCCAAGCACAACATGAAAAGTAGTCATCAAATCACAAGAGAAAAGAACAAGAGAGGAAAGGAAGAAAAAAGACCTACAAAAATAAATCCAAAATGATTAACAAAATGATAATAAGAACATACACATCAATAATTACCTTAAATGTACAGCAGATTAAATGTGCCAATCAAAAGACACAGACTGTCAGAAGTGATACAAAAACGAGACCCATATGTATGTGGTCTGCTAGAGAGCCTCTTCAGATCTAGAGACACATACAGACTGAAAGTGAGAGAATGGAAAAGGTATTCCATGCAAATGGAAATCAAAAGAAAGTTGAAGTAGCAATACTCATATCAGACAAAAGAGACTTTAAAATAAAGATTGTTCTACAGATTCAATGCAATCCCTATCAAGCTACCAACAATATTTTTCACAGAACTAGAACGAATAATTTCACAATTTGTATGGAAATACAAAAAACCTCGAATAGCCAAAGTAATCCTGAGAAAGAAGAATGGAACTGGAGGAATCAATCTGCCTGACTTCAGACTATACTACAAAGCCACAGTCATCAAGACAGTATGGTACTGGCACAAAGACAGAAATATAGATCAATGGAACAGAATAGAAAGCCCAGAGATAAATCCACGAACCTATGGTCACCTTATCTTTGACAAAGGAGGCAAGGATATACAATGGAAAAAAGACAACCTCTTTAACAAGTGGTGCTGGGAAAACTGGTCAACCACCTGTAAAAGAATGAAACTAGAACACTTTCTAACACCATACACAAAAATAAACTCAAGATGGATTAAAGATCTAAATGTAAGACCAGAAACTATAAAACTCCTAGAGGAGAACATAGGCAAAACACTCTCCGACATAAATCACAGCAGGATCCTCTATGACCCACATCCCAGAATTTTAGAAATAAAAGCAAAAATAAACAAATGGGACCTAATGAAACTTAAAAGCTTTTGCACAACAAAGGAAACTATAAGCAAGGTGAAAAGACAGCCCTCAGATTGGGAGAAAATAATAGCAAATGAAGCAACAGACAAAGGATTAATCTCAAAAATATACAAGCAACTCCTCCAGCTCAACTCCAGAAAAATAAATGACCCAATCAAAAAATGGGCCAAAGAACTGAACAGACATTTCTCCAAGGAAGACATACAGATGGCTAACAAACACATGAAAAGATGCTCAACATCACTCATTATCAGAGAAATGCAAATCAAAACCACAATGAGGTACCATTACACACCAGTCAGGATGGCTGCTATCCAAAAGTCTACAAGCAATAAATGCTGGAGAGGGTGTGGAGAAAAGGGAACCCTCTTACACTGTTGGTGGGAATGCAAATTAGTACAGCCACTATGGAAAACAGTGTGGAGATTTCTTAAAAAGCTGGAAATAGAACTGCCATATGACCCAGCAATCCCACTTCTGGGCATACACACCGAGGAAACCAGATCTGAAAGAGACACGTGTACCCCAATGTTCATCGCAGCACTGTTTATAATAGCCAGGACATGGAAGCAACCTAGATGCCCATCAGCAGATGAATGGATGAGGAAGCTGTGGTACATATACACCATGGAATATTACTCAGCCATTAAAAAGAATTCATTTGAATCAGTTCTAATGAGATGGATGAAACTGGAGCCCATTATACAGAGCGAAGTAAGCCAGAAAGATAAAGACCATTACAGTATACTAACACATATATATGGAATTTAGAAAGATGGTAACGATAACCCTATGTGCAAAACAGAAAAAGAGACTCCTATGTATAGAACAGACTTGTGGACTCTGGGAGAAGGCGAGGGTGGGATGTTTCAAGAGAACAGCATTGAAGCACGTATATTATCTAGGGTGAAACAGTTCACCAGCCCAGGTTGGGTGCATGAGACAAGTGCTCGGGCCTGGTGCACTGGGAAGACCCAGAGGGACTGGGTGGAGAGGGAGGTGGGAGGGGGGACCGGGATGGGGAATACATGTAAAAAAAAAAAAAAAAAAGATACACTATGGTTGTGATAAAAAAAAATAATAATAAATAAATAAATAAATAAATTAAAAAAAAAAAATAAAGATTGTTAGGAAATTGCCTGGTTGTCCAGCACTTGGGACTCCAGTCTTTCACTGCTGAGGGTGCAGGTAACTAGGAACCTGCAAGCCACTCAGTGTGGCCCATAAATAAAATAAAATAAAAATACTGTTACAAGAGATATAGTAAGATATCACTTTTCTTCCTTACACAGACTTCCAAAACAGGAGACTTTGTATAATGCATTTAGATTTTTGTTCTTATGTTGCCTTATCCCCCCGACCCTGTTCCCCATCCCCAAAGTCTCAAAATAAAATATATACCTATTTTTAAAAAATCCATTAATTCTTGGCCGTGTTGGGCCTTCGTTGCCACATCAGGTTTTTTCCTAGCTGTGGCAAGCAGGGGCTCTTCTCTGTTGCAATGCCCGGGCTCCTCGTTGCCGCGCTTCTCTTGTGGCTCCCGGCTCTAGAGCACAGGCTGCTTAGCATGTGGGATCTTCTCAGATCAGGGATCAGACCTGCGTCTCCTGCCTTGGCAGGCCAATTCTTCACCACTGAGCTACCAGGGAAGCCCATCATATACCTATTTTTAAGGTCTGCTTCGTTAGGTTATAATCCACATACCGGAGAGTACAGTTAGATGAGTTTCGACAAATGCGTAGTCTTAGAACTGTCAGTCTGGATGTATTTCCACAACCCCCAAAGTTCCAATGGGCCCCTTTTATAACTAACTCCTCCCTGACTGCAGGTATACAATAAGGGATGAGTCCTGAGTGAGCTCATTCATCTTTTCCCACTGGATACAGAGAGTCAGAGCTAAAGAATCAACTGGAGGGAGATGGGGACTTCTCATGCCACAATCCCCCTTGGCTGAGCCCAGAGTGAGCCCAGGGCCTGGGGTGAGGGGTCTGCCTGCAGACAGCCGCAGTTGGCCAAAGTCCCCTTTTATAGCCAGTACTACTGAGGCTAGAGACAAATGCCTTAGTGGGTCCTGTGGCCTCAGTTCTGGCCCTGGATGTTGGGTTTTCATCTCCTCATCTCAAAAGTGAAAATTAAGAGACTTCCTTCGTGGTCCAGGGGTTAAGATGCCTTGGTTCCATTGAAGGAGTTACAGGCTTGATCCCTGGACAGGGAACTAAGATCTTGCATGCTGTGTGATGTGACCAAAAGGAAAAAAAGATGATTAAAGGGAAAGGTAGAGGGACTTCTCTGCTGGTCCAGTGGCTAAGACTCCAGGCTCCCAATGCAGGGGGCCTGGGTTCCATCCCTGGTCAGGGCACTAAGACCCCAGTGCTGCTACTAAGACCTGGTGCAGCCAAATAAATTCATTAAAATAAAATTTAAAAGAATTTTTAAAAAAGGAAAAGTCAGTGTTGCTATACACTGAATGTTTATATCCCACATACATGTGTGTTAGTCACTCAGTCATGTCTGACTCTTTGCGACCCCATGAACTGTAGTCCACCAAGTTCCTCTGTCCATGAAATTCTCCAGGCAAGAATATTGGAGTGGGTTGTCATTCCCTTCTCCAGGGGATCTTTCCAACCCAGGGATTGAATGCAGGTCTCCCACATTGCAGGCAGATTCTTGACTGCCTGAGCCACTGGGGATATATGCCCCCCAAATCCATAAACTGAAATCCTGATCACCAGGGTGTTGCTATAAGGAGATGAGCCTTTGAGAGGTAATCAGGCCATGAGGGTGCAACTCCCATTGACGGGATTAGTGTCCTTCTAAGACTTGAGCAAGCCTGTTTTGTCTCTGCTTTCTGCCATGTGAGGATGCAACAAGAAGGCAGTGCGTTTTCACCAGACTCCAGATCTGCTGGTACCTCGAGCTTGGATTCCCCAGCCTCTCAGACTGAGAAACAAATGTCTATTGTTTAAGCTCCCCAACCTTTGGTATTTTTATCATAGCAACCCAAACTAAAATCTGCTGCATCCTGGGGTCAACTCCAAGTCCTCAGCCAGCTGTTTCTTCCTCTGGATCCTGTTTCCAGCTGATGGGGCTTTTTAAAAAAGTATAGTTGATTTACAATATTGTGTTAGTTTCAGGTGTACCACAAAGTGATGCAGTTATATATGTATGTTTCAGACTGTTTTCCATTATATGTTATTAGAAGACATTGAATATACTTCCTTTTGCGTGCATGCTCAAGTCATTTGCAGACTCTGTGGCCCCATGGACTGTAGCCCACAAGGCTCCTCTGTCCATGGAATTTTTCCTGGCAAGAATACTGGATCAGTTTGCCATTTCCTCCTCCAGGGGATCTTCCCAACCCAGGGATAGAACCCACATCTCCTGCATTGGCAGGTGGATTTTTTCTACTAGCTCCACCTGGGAAGCCCTATAGTTTCTTATGCTATACAGTAAATCCTTATTGCTTACCTATTATAGCTTATCTATTTATATCATAAAGTCCTATACTTCTCATATATCACTCCCACCCTCCCTTTCCCTTTTGGTAACCATAAATTTGTTTTCTATGTCTGTGAGTATGTTTCTGTTTGTATATAGATTCATTTGTATTATTTTTTATATTCTGCATATAAGTGATACCATATAATATTTGCCTTTCTTTGTCTGACTTACTTCACTGAGCACAATATTGTCCAGGCCCATCCTTGTTGCTGCAAATGGCAATATTTCATTCTTTTTTCTGGTTGAGTAGTAGTCCACTGTGTATGTATCTTCTTACACCAGTCGTCTCTGGACAGTCACTTGGGATGTTTCCATGTCTTGGCTGTTGTAAACAGTGCTGCTGAGAACATTAGGGTGCATGTGTGTTTTCAAGTTAGCTTTCATCTTTTCCAGATACATACTCAGGAGTGGGATTACTGGGTCATATGGTGTGTGAGCGCGCTTGCTAAGTCGCTTCAGTCATGTCTGATTCAGACTCTATGGACTGTACCCCACCAGGCAAGAACACTGGAGTGGGTTGCCACGCCCCCCTCCAGGAGATCTTCTCAACCCAGGGATCAAATCCGCATCTCTTACATCTCCTGCATTGGCAGGCATGTTCTTTACCACTAGCACCACCTGGGAAGCCCGGGCCATATGGTAGCTCTGTGATTTTGGGGGGTTTTTTTGTTTGTTTTTAAGGAAGCTTCATACTGTTCTCTATAGTGGCTACACCAATTTATATTCCTATTCCTGATGGTTTGGGGGGGCACTCACAGGTGTCAACAGCTACTGTTACTATTATAGAGGTGGCTATTGTTGCCCCCCAGCCCTGGTTCTTGTCTCTGAGACCTCCCAGCTGGACATGCTGAAGCTCTTCTCTCTCCCTCCTGACCCCACTTAGCAGCCTGTGTCCCATCCCATTCCTCCTGCATCTTCTGAGCTGGCCAGGACATCATGGGAGAGCAGGGTATGCCCGGAAGGCAGACAACTCTGGAAATTCCAGGGCAGAGGCAGCACAGGGTGCTGTTTGTCTTGCCCTCGCCAGGGCTGAGTTTGTTCTGGGGCTTTCATCCTTTTCCATGTGGGCAATTCAGGACACAATGTCCTGCCCAACTTGCCTCTCAACCTTGGTGATCCTAAACCTAGCCTTGCTGACTCTCTGTGGGAGTCTGCAAATTGTCAAAAGGAACTGTGGGTGGCATGAAAAGAGCCCTTGAAATCATCACGTTCCCGCCCACTCCGGGACCTTTGCACATGCTGTGCTCTCTGCCTCCAACTCTTCCCTCTGTTTATAGCTATATATCTCCCTTTCCAGGTCTCTGTCAGGTCCTCCTGGAAGCCCTTCTGGAGCCCATGCTGGTGGTCCTAGCATGGGTGGGTGTATTCCTTTGGCAGGTCCTGTCCAAGTTGTAATTTTGCACTTATCCATCTCTTTGTTTATGAGGAGTCCTGGGCAGGCAAGGATTGGGGTACTTGGCAAATAGTAAGTATTCAATAAAGAGTGATGGGATCAATCATTGAATTTGATAACTATTTATTGAATCCCATCTTCCATTCATTCAGTAACTCTTTCCTGAGCCCTGCAGGGCACCAGGCCAGACTGGCTTCTGGGGGACATGGTGAATGAAGAAATTTGGACTCTGGGAGATGGCGAGGGACAGGGAGGTCTGGCGTGCTGCGGTTTCATGCAGCCGCAAAGATTCAGACACAACTTGGACCCCCAACCCTCCTGTGGACCCCTGTGGCCCAGAGCCTCTTGCAAATAATTCTAGTGAAACTCTTGAATAATGGAGCTATTCTTGTCACCCAGGCTCTGGTCCTCAGAGACAGATGATGTATTTATGAGTCAATCATCAAAACAGATCCATTCCCCGAGCGCCTAGGAGAGACAAGGATGGTGAACCATCAGTGGTACCACTTTCCCTGTTTCTGGCCTGGGATCCCCTCAGGATGTTCACAAACTCCAGTGGTTTAAGCTTCATCAAAGGGAGGTCAGGGAGCCCAGCAGTTAGGACTCGGGACTTTCACTGCTGGGTCCCTGGTTCAGTCCCTGGTTGGGCAACTAAGATCCCGCCAGTCACATGGCAAGGCTGAAAAAGGGAGTGAGGGGTCAGGTTTAGCAAATAAACATCTAGGCACTCAGTTAACTTCAAATTTCAGATAAACAACTGAAACTTTTTTTTAAAGTATAACCCCAAATATTGCATTGTCTATATTTATATCAAAATTGATGTTTTTGAGCTCTGGTACTAGAGAAGACTCTTGAGAGCCCCTTGGACACCAAGGAGATCAAATCAGTCAATCTGAAAGGAAATCAACCCTGAATACTCGTTGGAAGGACTGATACTGAAGCTGAAGCTCCAATACTTTGGCTACCTGATGCAAATAGCTGACTCATTGGAAAACACCCCAATGCTGGGAAAGATTGAAGGCAGGAGGAGAAGGGGACAACAGAGGGTGAGATTGTTGGATGGTATCACTGATTCAATGACATGAACTTGGGCAAACTCCAGGATATGGTGAGGGACAGGGAGGCCAGCATGTTGCAGTCTAGGATCACAAAGATTCAGACAAGACTTGGAGACTGAACAACAATACTAAAATTAAAAAAAAAAAATTTATCTGAAATTTAAAGTTAACTGGGTATCTTGTACCTTAATGGAACCCTAATCCATCATTGTGCCCATTTTACAGATAAGTAAATGGAGGTCCAGAGAGGTTAATTGATGGCACAGCCAAGGATGGGCAGAAGGAGAATTCAAGTGGGACAATGAGACCAGTGCCTTAGTACTCACTCAATTCTTCCCCCCAAAGAGCCTAGCCTGAGGACAGGGGTGGGGGTGGGGGAGGAGGTGGGGAGAGGGTGTTTGCATGAGCCAAAGCCCCACCTTGCCTGGGTTGGAGGCACTTTTCTCACTCTGGCTCCTGGCACAGGAGAGGTGTCCCTAGACCAGGACTCTGCAAACAGGAGGAGCCTCTCCCACCATCTGGATTCCTGCATCCGGAAGCAGGGAGGCTGGTCTCCTGTAAACAGCCGGTCTCATGTCACTGTAAACAGCTGGTGTCTAGCATTGTTGTCACAGTGCCCGAGTCTCAGTGTGATTGCCCTGAGACTCGATACCCTGCGGCCAGCCCCTGTCACTGGATATTTGGTAAACAGTATTCTGAGAATGGGCAGCAGCGCTCCATCTGGCCAGCACTCCATCAGTACCAGGGCGGGTGGCTGGTTCCAACTTAAAGGCAGATCCTGACGCCTCATTAGCCATCCCTGCTCATTTTGTACTGATACTTTGTAAACATGAAGTCCTGATACCTGTTACTTGTCAATGATCAGACACTGTTAGTCATCAACCTGCCCTAATGTTTCTTAGCTGGAGACCTGGAAGCACTTTAAACAGAGCTCTGATACTCTGTAAACAATGAATTTTGATACTTCGTTACCCATCTAGGGACACCTCTCCTGTGCCTCATCCAGGGGCTGGCAAACTGCAGCTCTGGCCAAACCTAGAAAGGGCTTCAACATTTTCCCATGATTGAAAACATACCAAAAGAAGATATGTGACCCATGAAAACTACACAAGGGGACTTCTCTGGTGGTTCAGTGGCTAAGACTCTGAGCTCCCAATG